GTCATTATAACGAACTCCCATATTTTTTGAGTAAAGTCTTCTTTTTATTTGACATCGGTCAGACGAGATTTAATATGTTGGACCTGTTTACGAGGACAGATATCTCTTCGAAGTCTGAATACGTATACAGGGTGAGATAAAAAACTGCAACAAAGTCAAACGTCATATCTTTTACGTATTTCTTTTTTGAAATTTTTTTGAAATAGCAACAAATTTTAGAATAAGTTTAGATTTGTTCGAATTGTGAATTAAGCGCTTGCGTTGAACGAAACTTTGGTATTTTTTAGTGTCAACCTTGCTTCCAAAATACTCCAGACACAATAGTCCAACGGACTGGTATCCAGAGACTTTGGTGGCCATGGTGCGTTGGAAATGGAGCAAGGAACCTCCCTTTTAACCATTCTTGGGTGGCACGTGCTAAGTACGATGGTGCTGAGTCCTGTTGAAATGTCCAAGGTCTGTGGCCAAAATGTTTGCGTTGCCAAGGCTTCAATACTTCCTCCAGAATATTTTCGCGATAATATTGGGCATTTTTTCTGATGCCACAGTCGATTAATCGGAGCGGACAGCGACCATCGGCTGTTATGACCGCGCACACCATCACCATGGCCGGCGCTTGAGTTCTGGTGGTCAACCGAAGGTGCACATTTTTAGCTGACCTCTTTGGCAAGTAAACCCGATCATTTTGTTTGTTAACATACTGCTGGACAACGAATTTTTTCTCATCGGAGAAAACCTATTCCGGCAGTTCACCACTTTCGGCCTAGCGAAGCAACTCTTTAGCTTTTAGAGTCTATTTTCTTTCTGATTCGGTGTAAGTTCTTGCACTTTTTGTAATTTCAATGTTTTTACCCCGAGCTCATTTTTCGATATTTGCCAAATGGAATAGTGCGATATGCCCAGCTCACGAGCCATTTTTCGGTTATTGCGATGCGGGTTTCGTTCGAGACACTTCTTTACTTTTCGAACCATTTCCGCTGATGTTGCTGTTTTCTTTCGTCCACTTCCTTGACGTCGGGCTACGCTACCAGTATCACGGTAACGAGCGATAGTTCGAGACACAAAAGATTTATTCACATTTAAATGCTGGAGTGCTCCAACGATAGCCACTTGTGGCTTTCCACCCAAATATAAAGAAATCACACTATCACGCTTGAATTCCATCACGAATAACTTTTTTTCTCTAGAATTCTCACCAAAAATTCTTTTGTACGCGTGTAAACAATCAATGAGCTGTCACTGGAATAATATTAACAGCTGTTGGACGAGTGGCTTAGAAATGACAGCAGTTTTTAAGATGTTGATATATAAAAGTGTTGAATACTGATCCAATCCTTATCTCTTGCTTATATTATAGCTGGGAAACAATAATATGTTGTAAAATAAATGGTATAGAGATTATATTTTTGAAAGAAAGTATGTGTCTTAAAATTTCTTCTTTTACATTTCTCCAAATACGATGTTTTAAGAGCTAATTTTGAAAAGTATTTCTTGACTACAAACGATATTTTGCTACCTTGCTCAATAAAAAGATTGGATTTTCCGATCAGTACAGCGCACAACAAGTCTTCTCTGGCTGAAGTGTATGTCGATTAGGACGTATGATTGTATTATCAACCCTATTTTTAATTAATGTAAGCTGCTTCTGGTATAGGTACTGTTTTTATACTCAGTCCTAATGTTATCTATCTGAATCTTCGAAAATTTACTCTTCCGGGAGTTATCTTAGAAAAATGTAATTCTGGCCCACTCTATTTCAAAAACGTGCTTTCTTTAATATGAATAAAAAAACTGATGTATATGTCTTGAAAATATTCTGGCACAGATATTACCATGAACCAAACCGCTGGTACTTTAACTCATTGCGACACTGATACAGTCCACAAAGGCCGATTGTCTTACCATAGGATATCAACAACCATTAAAAAAACTGGGACTGTATCAAAATCGCTCCAACTCCAACGACCCACTCCTCCAACAAACAACAACAATGCTAAATCAAGTAATTTAACCACATATAGATGGAGCCCTGTGTGGGCACAGACGTTTCGTTAATCGGGCTCCAAACAAATGTACACAAAATACAAACCCAAGCATTTGAACAAAAGGCTAAACCATTGAAGTGAGATACAACCAAAGAAAAAAGATACAATGTCTTGTCAAGAGTTGTTGGAGGGTATCAGTGTGTGCATCGGTGTGGGAGTACAACGTATCTGTGTGACGACTGACTGTCCATGTTTATTCAAATAATGTGTAGTGGGGACTCTCATAGGCAGGCGCAAAGAGAAATTTCAGCGATTTTTTGTTTCGCATTATAAAGTTGAATTTAAAATTTATTTTTTATAAAAAAATGTATTATTTTATTTTAATTAAAATTATAAAGAAAAAAATATAAATTGCCTTTAATTTTTCCTTCAAAATGTATTAAAACTTAAATTATCATGAACATTTTCCCTTCAAATTCTCTTTCCTCATGAAAGAGAGGGAGAGAGAGAGTTCCTGCCTGTGTTTGTTTCTCTTGTATCTGTTGGATACATTTGGTGTACGTGTGTAACCCCCATCCATATTTCGGTTTACACTTGACTTTCCTTCTCTTTGTTTGGTTTGTTTCGTTTCGTGTCCATGTGAAGACTGGATACACACGTACAGTGTCGGTGAATACGTGTGTGACTCTCTACACTTGTTCGAGAGTGAGAAATGGGCTTTGGGTTCGATTCATCCACCTTACTTATGCACAGGCGAACACACACGTACACGACTCTTTAACTTATTTCCTACTCCCAAATGGGGGATTTCAATCGACAAGAACAAGAGCCAAGTAGTGAAAAACCAAAAAAGAGCGCATGTGAGCTGATGTCAGGCATTATCAATAACCCACCACCCATACCAATGCAACTCAAAACAACTTTGGCGTTATCATACATACTATACGTGTGAGTAGAATTGGTTTTTTGGGGGGAGTTTGGCCGTACTGAAGAGCGCCTCGACGTAGAGTGGATTTTTGAAAGACAAGAACAAGAATTCAACGAGTTCTTTGGCTTTTTGGCCACCCTTCCCTCGTTCTCCCTTCTCTCTGGCATTGTCACACTGTGGAAAAACAAACGTGACGAATTTTCCTTTATTCTCAAAGTGTTGGCAGTGTGCGCTACTTGTCAATAGTTTGGTCGTACGTACGCTCAGACGGACGTACGGATGGATGGATAATTGGACAGACATACTTTTCCACATTCTGCTGGCTGATTGTCGTTTTAAAGAACTCTCATGAGAATACAGAGTATTTTCAGCTCAGCGTGAGTGAATGTGTGTGTGTGCGCCAGACCAGCGATTCGAATAGTGGCGGTACATTAGCCGCTTCAACATTGTGTGTCTGCTTGACTACGCTCTGCGCTCAAACTGTGTTCCGTGTGGGTTTTCATGAAGACATTTTTCAGTTTGTGTATGCGGACAAAAGAATCTCTGTTGTCAGTGTAGATTTGTACTCCGCTGCGTTCGGTACAGGGCACACGGTCGTCAATTGTTTCACTTTTCCCAAAAGAAGAAAAATATTTGTGTGAAATAAGAAAATTTTTACAACTACAACAAACCTCACACACAAGCATTCGCTCATACAAATCAGACGACAAACAACAAAACGAAATAACCACAAACAAAAATCTTATTGAAAATTTGAGTGTCTCAAACGACGAAAGAAAAATTATTTTGAAAATCTCAACAACTACCGTCAGTCAGTCGTAGGCAGACTAACTAATAAAACGTAACAACCATAGAAGGGAATCAAGAGAAAAAATCCAATAAGAAAATTCAAAACTCAATAACTAAAGTGTTAACAATAAGAAAACAAATTCTAAAATGTATATTAATTAAAGTGCAATAACAAAAAGAAATAGTTTTAAAAACGTTTATAAAACTCGAAACATACTCAAACTTTTACGGAATAAAATTCTGAAAATTCTTGAAAAAAACTATAATTGGAGAACATTTGAACTAAATCACAAATTGTGTTTAATTTTATTCCTCCCACACAACAAAAACCTCTCCCTTTCCCAACACCACAACTGAACTGAAAACAATTTGACAATTGTTTGAATCAAAATTGGATATTTACGCTATACCTTGGATAATCAACTTACTGTGCAACCGGCAAACTTTGTTTGGCGCAAAACCACAACAATAAATTATTATTAAAATTATATAAACAAATCTGCTGTTGAACACCAAACCAAACAAAACCTAACCCACATAACATGGTCTACAAAACGAAAAATATATAAAAAATATTATTATTTGTTTTGATCGTAAAATGGAATTTTATGGCCCACTTAAATATTACCGCCATCGTCAACAACAACAACCCAACAAACAACAACGCCAACATAAACAACTGCTAACGATACAATTGCCAATGACCCTTCAATTGGCAAACAAATTATAAAAATAATAATTATTAAAAAATAAATTTAAATTATTTGAAAAACAAAAACCTTAAAACATTCTAACAAAAAACTATAAAATAATTATTCTGATACACCCTGTGTTTTCTGTGAATTTTCTCTTAACTTGTTCATTAAAAATCTAAATTTCGATCTAACACAAACTTTTGCCACAAAAAATAAACTTAACCCTCGTTTGCTCTTTGGTAACTCGTGTTGTGCTCTTGCAAATGTTCTCTTAAAAATAAACGGAAACACCAACAACCACCACCATTCAACCAAACCGTACCATACCAAACTACCATCTTTCCACACACACCACACATCAAATTGTCCCCTGACACGCACACGGACAATTGTGTCTTCCTGGTGACTGTCGTGAACAACATTGAACTACAACAACAACAAAATATATTTCAAATAATGTTGTATCAACAAAATTCACAAAAACACAAACTTTAATACGAAAACGTTGTTGAAAATAATTTCGTTCGATTAAATTTCGTCAATTTTCCATTCGAATATTCGAAAAACCGCGCTTTAATTGCAAACAACAAAAAAAACGCTTAATTTGAAATCGCGTTCAAAATAACCGTAAATATTCCACCCCTCCCCCAAACCCCAACCATCCCGCTGGCGTGCGCTCTATACGACCCCCACGATGTCTCGGCAGTCGGGTCGCACGCCGCTGCCGGGGCTTGGTGGGGGCCACATCATCACGCTACTCCACATCCTTCGACAACTGCTGCCACTGCCGCTCTTAACCATCATCCACACCATCCGGCACACCATCAAACGGCAACAATTGGGACGACGGGCACACCGACATCGACGCCACATCACCAACAATTGCATCATCCGGCCCATCACGCTCATCCGCATGCCCATGCGCATTTGCATACGCTGCAACATCAACACCTGCAACATCAACAACACCTGCAACAACAACAACAATTGTCACATACCCACCTTAATTCAACGACAACAACGGGTATACCTTCGTCGAATGCATCATCTGCCTCGTCACTTTTGGGTACGGAAACTGGACTGCAACAACAATCCGCCACACAACAAACCAACAACACACATTCCACGCCCACTCATGCGGTTATGTATGAAGATCCCCCGCCTGTGTCTATAGTTCAACAACAGCAACAGTCCCATCACCTCCCGCATCCACAACAACAGCAACAGCAACAACAGCAATCTGCCAATCAACAACAGCAGCAACAATCTCATAATAACGTTGCAACAACACCAGTTGGTGGTCTAAGTCCTTCACAAACACCTTCGGGTCCTGCCTCACATACACAGCAACATTTAACATCACCCCATCATCAGCAGCAGCAGCAACAACAATCACAGTCAAACACATTGCCCTCCAGTGCTACATCAAGTATTCAGCAGCAGCAACAACAGCAGCAGCAGCAACAACAACAGCAACAAAACACAGCAGTGGCGTCCGGCCAGACACAAATTGTTGCGCCGACAGCGGCGAGTGTATCCCCATCCAGTGTTAGTTCCCAGCCTCCAGGTACGTTCAAAACTTACATTAGCCATAATATTTGAAATGAGGGTCTAGAAGAAATTGTATTCCTTGTATTTTAGAGAATCGTTCGTCTAACAGAATCAAAAAAAAGTAGTAGGTTATAGGGTAGGGTAGGTTATAACAAAAAAAATCCATAAAAAAGACTTACAGAATTGTCTTAGGAATCTCTAAGCTAATTGCAGTACTGTACAATCCAATTGCAGTACTGTAGGAAAATATTTAAAACTCAGGAATATTAAAAAAAAAAAAAAAACATAAGAAAATCAGACCTTATTGCCCAAAAATAAGAACTTAAGCTTTTCTTCACCAATTCTATTAACAGATAATTAAAAATCTGTGAAAACAGTTAACTCCGCTATTTACACACGTAATACCAATAATAACACCATCATTTAAAATTCAAAATATTATATTTAAAATTCGAAATTTTCGCTTCTAAATTTGAATAAGTTTAAAAAAAAACTAAATTAAATTATATTAATTTTTATTTTAAGTTTTTAATTCGAAATTTTAGTCACTAGTAGCATTAAATATTATACTCAAATCATTAAATTTGTAATACGAAAATTTTCTTCAAATTTCAAATTACTAAGAATCTAAATTCAATCGGAAAAATTCGATGGTTACAGTAAAAACTGGAATACGTCCAATAATATATAAAAATGAAAACCCCAAAATTATAACTGAAATTCTTCGAATCGCACTCGAAATGGTACAAGAAAAACTGTATGAAGAAAACAATCCAATCGATCGCAAAAAAATTATTTAAAAAAATGTAAAAATCAAAAAAAAAAAAAAAAAATAAAAAAAACAATGAAAAACTGTTTTCCAACTAAAATATATATAAATTTCATATTGAATGACATTTATTTCAATTTTAAATTGAAAACAATATTATGTTCTTTTGTAATTCTTTTTTGTTTTATAACTCAATATTTTCTATTCGTATTCCTTTTTAATTAACTCTATTGTCCATTCGTTAAAATTCGAAACCTTTCGATATAGCAATGAATAAATTATTCTACTTGCATTTTTTTTTGAAAATACAAATGAAAACTTTTAATTACAGATATAAAAATTAGATTTTTCAAATAGAAAAGATCAAATTAATTATTTAATAATAAGTATAATAATTTTATATTTACAATAATATATTTTTAAAAATTCGATTTACAAATGAAATTAATTAATTTAATTATTCTATTTTTTTTTTGTTTTTGAAAATACAAATTGGAAATGCAAATGAAAAATTTTTAATTACAAATTTAAAACTTCGATTTTTTAAATGAAAAAATTAAAATTAAAATAACGTTATTTTAAAAATTCAATTTAAAAATGAAATTGAACAAAACATCCCTTACTATAACTGAGTAAATTGCAATTCCAAGTTAAATGGTCAAATTTTAAATTAAATATTTAAAATATTAAATATAAAGGAATTAAAAAATAGATTTACAAATGAAACAAAATAAAATATTTGAAACTATAACTGAGCAAATTAGAAGTTAATGTCAAATAATCAAATTTAAAATTAAATACTTCTATATATGAAATCATAATGAAATTTCTTTAAAAAAACGTAGAAAATTGGAATTATAAACAATTTTAAAAATCGATATAAATGTTCTCGCAAAATCGATTCGATTGGATCGATTATGTTACATCCAAAAGCTGTATCACAGCGCAGGTCCTGCTATTTAGAAAGTTTGTATGAAGTTGGGTTATTTTGAAAGGAAATCGATACGGAAATTGTGTCAATATTACTTAACCTTTTAATAGATGACTTTGAAACGGTCAATCTCAGTTTATGATAAGAAAAGAGGAAGTGTACTAAAAATGGATTTTTTGGAACTACAAGCATCACTACGTTAATGTAGTGCATTTTGGTAGAGGAGGTGCAGAATTTACAACGAAAGTTTTCTATTTGGAACAATACCTTTTTACGCATCAATTGTATCTTCTTTCATTTAAACATTTATATTCCGCTTTTCATCTCCCTTTTGCAGATATGTCCCTCTCATTAGCTCCATTGCATATACCCGCGATAAGACCAGGTTTTGAGGCCGATGCAGCCAGTGCAGCCGTCAAACGGCACCCTCATCCGGCATGGCCGTATGAAAGCGATGGCTTTAGCTCGGCCCAATATCATCATGCTTCGCAATACTATTTAGAAAGAGATCGTAAGCCTGTATTTTATGGTTATCCAGAAACGCAATTTCAGGTAAATATGAAAACATTATTAAATAATTATTTTAAAATGAATTAAGCCAATTGAAAAATGCTGTATAAAACTGATAATTCATCCCGATTTTTTTAAAAGTTATAATTAACGAAATTAAATGACAATCTAGATAAATCAAAGATATTATTTAGTATCATGGCAAAATAATGTAAAGTAAATTACTTTTAATGTTATTAAAAATAATGAAACTCTGCGGTTTAGTCTTCAAACGTAGCTTCCACATAGTAGAATCCTTCTTTTTTAAAAAACATAAGTTTGTCTATACAAAATATAAAATATTATAAGGCCCTTTCAACTTTGCTTTACTAATTCTCAAAACAATTTTCATTTTATTAAAAAATATATATATTTATTTCATATAATATTAATTCTATATTTGTTTTCGTTGCCTTTTTCTCTCCTTTACTTTCCAACAATCTATAGCCTTACTGGAATTACCGTGAACAGCCTACATCCGCTGCTGCTGCAGCATATATGAGCGCCAGTGATGATCGTCATGCCAGTGTAACTGCAGCTGCTGCAGCCAGACAATCGGTGGAGGGCACCTCTCAGTCCAGCTATGAAACGCCAACCTATTCATCGCCTAGTGGTTTACGAGCGTATCCAAGTGAGGCATACTCAAGTACAGGTAAATAAATTACAAAGCCAACAAAAACCACAATGCGCATATATCATTTTACTTGCATTTTATGAATATACATATGTATGTATGCATGTTCTTACAAACGTATTTTTGTATATAAACCAGACATCCTTAAGACCAAGGGAATAATAGTAACTGGGTTTTGAAGGTAACTGCGTGCATTAATTTAAGTAATTGATTTAAAATGCAACGTATAAATGAGGGGAAGAAGAATAGAGGGATCACAAAATGTGTTTATTTGCAAATGAATGTTAAAAGAATGTTTCAAAGAAAAGTCAAACTTAAGGGGAGTGGAAAAGTTTTCTTTGACTAAACAGCAACCGAAAAACATATATTCAAGAATCTTTTCCTTTCGTGCTGAAAAATACTAAAGATTAAGTTGCGATTTTAAATTAGTTTTGCATTGTTTTCACGATTTACATCTATCGGTTTGCCAGTATTCAATATAATAAATGCTGGCAGAGTTAAGCCATATAAAATATGTACAGTTTTTATGCGCATTTTGATTTAAAGCCTATTAAAACCATTGCAAGGTAAATTTTATTGCAATGTTAGTTAATTTAATTTCCGTTCAGTTTTATGATTTATATTTAACATAAATGTATTAAAATTAATTTGTTCATGACTTGGAAAGTTTTGTTCGGATAAATTGCACAGTAAATATAATCGATAAAATATGCTGAACACATGACAGAACTTCACACGAGGGCAGGTTAATAAGTGGGCGATATTTCCAACTTAATTTGTAGTAATATGAGAAGCATCGTCGGTCCCATTTCAATAGTGATACGGCATAAATCTTGTATTTAAAAGCTGTTGAAAAAGTGCAACTTTGTCATGGAGTTAAATTTAAATTTAATTATTTGCGGAATGCCACTTAACAATCTTAGGGTTCGATTCATCAGTGCTTTGTGTACTTTGCACCATTGTTCATAAAAAAGTTTACTTGATTTAAAATGGGTACCTCGACTCCAACATTATCAGAAATTAACCACCCAAACATAACGAATGGTTGAGATAGACCTGGAAAAATATAGAAAGAACATAAATGATTTATCTCGGAATTTTCGATCTGCCCTCGTATGTACAGTAATCGAAGGCACTAATATTTGGATATTTATGATAGAGCTTTGCAAATCAAAAGGCATTTAAAATGTATATCTAAAAACAGCAAGGGAGTCAGAATATAGCCAAATAACTCATTACAGAGCATCTTTTATATTATCACTAGTTTACACAAAATATGAATTATTCCTTAAAAATTGCAAGGCAAAATAATTTATTTGACATATTACCAAGTAATGAGTAACCGTCCGGGTACGAGTAAGTTTGATACTCAGCATCGTATATAAAATATGAGGTCAAATATATTAGTAAAACCTAGTATTTTAAAGGTTTTGAGTGAAACTTCCAGAAACTGGAGATTTTGTGGTTTCGTTGCATAACTAACACTTGTCAAGCTGAGACCTTATTCTGACAAAAGACACACACATCCGTCTAATTTACGCCCTAGCTTCATATTCTGACGAAATGTGTAGGATATTATATTTTGAAACAAACACTTATACAGGGTGAAATAAAAAAACTGCAACAAAGTCAAACGCCATAATTTTTACAGTTTTTTTACATTTTATTGAAGCAAAGCAAAAAATGTCGGAAATAGCATCAAATTTTAGGATACGTTTAGTTTTGTCACCTTTGGCACGACTTGTGGCCTTCAAACTGCTAATGAAACCGTCACACACTACCCCAATGTTGCTCTGCGGTCTATTCCCGGCGAAGCGCTTGCTTCAGGTGATCGACACTTTGGTATTTTTTAGTCCAACCTTGCTTACCAAAATTCTCCAGATACAATAGTCTAACGAATTGGTATCCGGGGACTTTGGTGGCCATCGTGCGCTGGAAATGAAGCGAGGAACCTCATTTTGTAACCATTCTTGGGTGGCGCGTGCTGAGTGCGAAGGTGCTGAGTCCTGTTTGAACGTCCAAGGTCTGCGGCCAAAATGTTTGGGTGCCCAAGGATTTAATACACCCTCCAGAATATTTTCGCGATAATTCGCATTTATTTAGACCTCTGTGGGAAGTAAACACGATCCATCCATTGTGTTTGTTTACAAACTGCTGTACAACGAATGTTTTCTCATCGTAGAAAACCAAATTCAGCAGTTCACCACTTTCGGCCAAACGAAGCAACTCTTTAGCTCCTTTGAGTCTATTTTCTTTCTTTTGCGGTGTAAGTTCTTGCACTTTTCGGAATTTCAATGGCAAAGCCGAGCTCATTTTTCAATATTTGCCGAATGGAATATTGTAATATGTTCAGCTCACGAGCCATTTTTCGGCCACTGCGATGCGGGTTTCGATCAAGTCGCTTCTTTACTTTACGAACAATTCTGCTGATGTTACTGTTTTCTTTCGTCCACTTCCTTGATTGATATTGAAAGGAGAGAAGAAATATAATGCTTATAAAAGATTATATAACAGATTTCATAACAGAATCCGTTCCATTTATATTTCCCTCTATAAATTTACACAGGAAAATGAAAAAAGTCTAATAATTACGAATTAGGGATTTCGCCTTGTCTCTTCCTGACTACATCAGTGAACTAATTTGTAACTTAAATATTTTTTTTTTTGATATTTTTTATTTACACAATTATGCGTTTCATTCCATTGGGGGTGTTTAATACAGTTGTTGACCAATCATCAATGTCATTGAGTTCAATAGGTCGGAATGCTTAGAAAATTTATGTTTTAATAAAATATATTGCCAAAATAGTCGCCAAAAACTAATTTCAATACCACTCCTACACGAATGAAACATCTTTGGTTTTCAAAACCAAAACGTACATCTACATTTAAAATGAAATTCCGCCGATTTGGTTTTTTCTTGAAAAATTTACATATTTTTGTTTGACCAATGTTTTGATTGGCTAAAATATATGAACATATGTCTATGTGTGCGAGTATTCCGTCTAAACGCCTCATTATATATGTCACATTATAAACGATATAAATTCTGAGATTTAATGGCATTCGTATTTTAAATATTCTGCCGAAAATCTAAATTTGAATAATATTAAATAATGGGTTTTAAATGAGAGCTGGCCACATCTGAGTTTGTTATTGGCCAAGAGGGCCAAGACAAAACGAAAGATGCAAAAATAAAAAAAAATAATAATTTATTTCACAAACATTGCCAATAAATAAAAATGTCGTGTCTTTGGCATGTAGCCAACGGAAGAAATTTCATAAAATCAAAACCAAGCAGAATCGTTGTATATTTTTATATGCAAATATTTTAAAATGAATAATGATTATTCTTCTTTCATTCCCAGGTGGTTCAGGTGGCTTGTCTGTGGGTGCTGTGGGACCTTGTACGCCCAACAATGCTTTGCATGAATGGACCGGCCAAGTGTCGGTAAGGAAAAAGCGTAAACCCTATTCTAAATTCCAAACCCTGGAATTGGAAAAGGAATTCCTTTACAATGCTTATGTCTCTAAACAAAAACGCTGGGAATTGGCCAGAAATTTAAATCTAACTGAAAGACAAGTAAGTATTTGACAGCAGTCAATTTCATTTAATGAAATTATTTATTAAAATGTGTTAATTTTTAGGTTAAGATTTGGTTCCAAAATCGCCGCATGAAAAACAAAAAGAATTCCCAGCGACAGTCAAATCAACAGAACAACAACAACAGTTCGAATTCCAATCACAACCACAGTCAGGCACCACAACAATTGCACAATAATCATCATTTGGGTTTGGGATTGAGCATGGGCCATCATGCCACCAAAATGCATCAGTGACCTTTGGATAACAGCAGTGCTGGCACCACCATGGGATTTCCAACATACTAACATTTAGCCAATATAAAAACCGAAACTATGACCGAATATCAGTGAGGTAAAACACTTGAAAGCAGAGCAAAGAAAGAAAACAAAACGGACACTTTAACATACATAGAGCAAAAAGAGAAAAAAAATATCCCATGAGAATTCAATGTCAGACACTGCTGATCAAAACAGTCTGCCAACAAATTCAAGTCACACCATCAACTACAGAAAATAGGCTTCCCCCATTAAAATTGAACATGTGAAAAGAAAACTTATAAAAGGGGATTTCGAAAATGTGTGTACATGAATAAAAGGCAAAATATGTAGAATTTAATCTAAACATAGATACATACAAAAAATATAGGCACAAAATAACAAACAAAAAAGAAAACATCATTTATACATAATGAAAAACAAGAAGAAGATGAAAACAAAACATACATACTTAAATATTGTCTATAACATAAGTAGAATTCTATAAATAGTTAATACAGTTTAATTTTGCATTGTATCTCATTTGAAAATGTTTTCTATGAAGAAGACATATACCTCCCCTTCCCCGTTTATTTGTTTGACAGTTCAACAACATGAAATTCGCAAATCTTAATTTTTGTTCTCTAAAAACAGATAATTTTTCTGACAAAACAAAACAAAATAGTTGAAAATATTCTATGGCATATATACACAAACACACTACAATAGAGAGAACAAGAATGAAATGTTTCCGAATTTTATCAAAAACCACACCAAGAATATTAGCCGGGACATAGATAGGCATACAGACACATAACGTTAGTTTCAAATATGATTAGAATTTGAATTACCCAGAAACAAAAATAACTCAATTACATTAGTTTTAACTTTTCCCAACGAAATACAATTGTGGTATAAAGATCATATTTAGAAAAAAAAAAATAATAAACTAAACACTAAACAAAATTTCCCTCAGAAACTAGAACTTTTCTCCCACCCTTAAATAATTAACAATCATACTGAAACAGACATTTTTAATTTTATTTCTTATTATTTTTTTAAAGAAAAATCCTCGAGGAAAGCCCAAAATTCTCACTTCCTGTGAAAAATTGAATCCATAAATTTTGCAATATTTTTAAGATGTGCACTAAATTTGTGATGCAGTCTTAAATACCTCGAATTAATTTTAAGTTTTTCATCTGTCGGTTTTGATTTTGAAAAGTGCTTCTTTCAGGGCATGATTACCAAGTCTTCAGCTTTCGGGCCCTTTCGTTCTTAGGTATTTTAAGAATTTATATTTTTAAAATATACACCTTTACTTCCCTTATTTTAAAGGTTTCAGCCAAAATTTCCAATTGAATCAGCTGTAATTTGATATTTATTAAAGTTCGATGTAGGCCCTTTATTTTATTATGATTTTAATTACATAAATATGCACTAATTTCCTTCTCGGAGTGTGTAAATCTTTTATACAGAAAACCATAATATTTAGTTGCCCTATTTGGACCCATACAACGAGTACACACTAAATTTCGTATTTGGGTTCGAATTGGCTGTTATTTTAATCGCCAAGAGAGCATTTGGCCCATAAAGTAGTTCTAATGTTATAACTTTTATAGATGCATAATTTTGTATTTGAAACCTTAACAGCGAGAATACATTTGGATTCCTAAGGAAAATTTTTCAACTCACTTTCATATGTTCACCAAGATAATTAATTAATTTTAATTTAATTTTATATTTAAAACCCTAACAGCTAGAATGCATTTGAAGTTCAAAGGAATATCGCAAAAGTAAGGATATCCCTATATATTGGAAATGTGAGTTCAACCGATTTTGCACCTATTTCAGTTTTTCCTTTTTGGATGGTGTCTATTTTAGCTAAGCCTTTTTCAGATATAATTCGAACCATTTTAATTAAAATTAGTAACATTTTATTTGTGATTTGAGAATTCGATTTTTAATTCGTAAAATTGCAGTTGAAATTCGAGAATTCAAATTGTAATTCGAAATTTCAGAATTTCGTTTGTAATACGTTAAATTAAATTAAAGCTCAAAATATTTCATTTGTAATTCGTATTAAACATATTTTATTCGAATAATTCAATTTGAAATTCGAATTATTTTACTTGTAATTCGAATTATTTTATTTGTAGTTTAAAAAAGCAAATATGGAATCAATGCATGTAATGTTTGCGATTTTTTTGTTTCAAATTTTCAAAAGCAATAATTTGAATTACAAATAAAACAATTGGTCTTCTGGCAGTCTTTAGGTTCCTTTGGGGATGTCCACTGTTCAGTTACAAATATCTTGCTCGTGTGGTCGGCATGGCTTGCAATTTAAAATCCTTTTGATCTTTAATAAACTAGTTCTCATAGTTTCTTTATAATTGTTAAAAATAAATACCCTTTGCAGTCTACGCATACTCATTTCTAGTACTTAAAAAAGTTCCCCTTGTCGCTTATATGGACCCCCAAATAGTTTCCAATTTATACTCTCTTCAGATCGCTATTAAATCCTTAATTTCCTAGACAATTCTAGGACTACATTCAGGTCGCCTTGGTTACCGATATGCAGATCATAAAAAATTATTTTGTTCGTATGTAAAGTTCAAACTTCTTTTTTTACAAAAGCTCTGTACTTTTCCCATACAGTCTATTTATTTTTGCTTGATATTTCTACGGGCGTTTTATGTTTTTTTAGAACTATTTATGTATTTTTAGAACTTATTTATTCCATCAAAAATGACATTTTAGATTTATGATATTAATTCGAGGTCCTTTCATTTATTAAAATATCAACTTTTTTCGTACCACCATTTTTGTATTTTTTCGAGGAAAAGTTAAATCAGAAAATCTCTACAAACATGAAATTCAAATACAATTAAATATTTCTTATATATATATATATATATATATATATATATATATATATATATATATAATATATATATATATATATATATATATCTCAATTTTCAACATTTTTGTTAGAAATCACAACAAAGTAATATGTTTCTGTACATAACTCATAGTGACATTAAAATTTAATGAAATATATAAAATATGTAAAATAACTACTTTAACATAATATGCTTTAATATAGTAAATACCGAAGAAAATATTACAAAAATATAGCATGACATTAAAAATAAAAATCGACAAAATACATATTAGAATTAGCAACAAAACCAACAAACAATTAATTGATGTGTGTCTGTTTACTCTATATAAATGGCTTGAAAACAAAAACAAAGTTCCCCTTAACTTTAACAAAAAAAAAAAAAAATCCCCAAAACGAAAATTATTCAAAGAAAAAACTCCCCAGCATAGCATTGAATATTTTTATTTTCATTAAATATAATGATAATTAAAGATATTATAAAGTATAAAAACACAAAAAATTAAAATACTACAACATACTTAATTCATTAGATCATATTTCTAATCATGCATAAACTTACTCTCTACTTACCTAAATATAAAAAATATATTAATAAAAGCACAAGAAAATATTTGTAATTAAAAACAACAATATTTTAATAATATTAGAAAAACAATTATTTTGTTTTGTAATTAGAATAACATAAATTGAAAAAAAAAATCGACAATGTATTAATGAATTTTGTTATTGTAAATGAGTTGCTATTTGGCTTTAGTTATAAATTTTTTTAAGTTTATTTTCTTCACTTTTTAAATTCTTGTGTTATACTATTTTCATTTCTAGATTTATTTGTTTATTGTGAATTATATATTTTTTAAATAAGTTCTATTAAATAATTATCATCTCATCATTAATTAGCTGTAATTACTTAGAAAAAATATAAGTTTTACGCTTATATTCATGTTGTTTATAATTTAAATTATTATTTTTTTTATAAAACAAAAGATATTTTAAATAAACAAAACAATTTTTTATACCTAAAACAATTACGTTATTTCATTCTATTGCCTCTACTTTTCTGTTTTTCGTTTGCTATTCTTTAACAGTTGTAGTAAAATTGGACAGCTATATTATGTTTTTTTTAAATGCATTAGGTTTTTGTATAATATTCACTATTAAAGATGTGGTTTATTTTAAGTTTCCCTTCTTCACAGTTTTTAAATTGGTTTTTATACAATAAAGAAAACTATTTACATTAATAGAAGATTAAGAAACAAAATGTTTTAATTGTCATTAATATATTGCTAATTAGAGTAACAGATCAACTAACTTGATAATTAATTGTTTTAAGTGACACTTAAAAAACGAAAATAAAACCCAAAAACAAATTATAGTTGTAATATTAGTGTAACCACATCCTCATAATAATTAATGTAAGTTATTGATATGAAAACAAAGTAAAAAAAAAAAATAATTCTTATCGCTATTCGTATTAGTTAATAAATATTCGATATACATAATTCTGAAATGCATATGCAGAAACAAAAGAAAGAACGATTAATAAATTAAATTACAGAAAAAAGAAATCAAAACATAATTTAAAAAAAAAAAAAACACATTATTTTTTATTTTTCTAAATTTGCAGTTTTTATTTTCAAATTTGGTGCATTTTTTATTCCACTAAGGGGAGATAATCTGTTATAATTCGAAAGCTTTGAAGTGTTTAAAATTTGATGATTTAATTTGGGCTATTATCTACGACAATTATTGTTATAATTATACCCTCAGCCAAATCGCTACGGAGGGAATATTTCGATACGGCCACAACGTGCTTCGTCGAAATAATGGTTTTAAATCGCAACTCTGTTTGAAGCAAAGACATTTGGAGTCCGTCCTTCCATGTTTCTATCTGGTTGGCTGGTGCACACGATAACTCTCGAAGGGAGTATCAGATTTGGTCCAAACTTGGTACAGAAAGAATCATACCATTTTGTTCAAACTTTGTAAAATTCTAATAGTTCCATTAGTTTTAGGTCAGGTACATGGACAATATGGGCCAACACAATCCAGTTCCTCCACCGTAAAGTGTCGACATTTTAAACGAATTACAATTCTTATTAAGTGGGAAATACGAGTCGAATAGTTCAAATTTCGCACAATTCAATATTTCCGTCAACACAAGATCTGCCGTGAAGATATTTCCACTAACACAAGATCCGGTGTAAAAAACCAGCAACAAAGCCAAACGCCATAACTTTTACATTTTTTAAAAAAAAATTATTGAATGAAAGCAAAAAATGCCGGAGATAGCATCAAATTTTAGAATACGTTTAGATTTGTTCGAATTGGTTATCTTTGGCACGAATTATGGCCTTCAAACAGCCAATGAAACCGTCATACGCTGCCCGAATGTTGCTCTGCGTTTTTGTGCCTGCATGAGGTGATCGACACTTTGGTATTTTTAGTGCCCACCTTGCTTTCCAATATACTCCAGACACAATAGTCCAATGGATCAGTATCCGTAGATTTTGGTGGTCATTTTGCGATGGAAATGAAGCGAGGAACCTCACTTTGTAACA